CAAGTGGGCGCGCTCTGGGGAGAACGGGGAGGGAAGCGGGCGCGAGATGGGCCTGGGATCCGGAGGGTGGAGTTGGAAAGTGGGGAGAGAATGGGGTGTTGTGGTGAAACAGGGTGCTTGGGGCAAAATCCGAGGGCGCCCCAGGTCGTGGTGAGATGTGGAAACTGGAGTGATGGGAGAGCCTGGAATCTGGGCTAGCCAATGAGGGGACAGCAAGGGAGTCAGGCCTAAGCGCTGGACCCCTTTTGCGTATCCCTCTTTTCCTGACAGTGTAAATGAGCAAAGATGGATCAGGAAGGTGGGGGAGATGGGCAGAAAGCCCCAAGCTTCCAGTGGAGGAACTACAAGCTCATCGTGGATCCTGCCTTGGACCCTGCCCTGCGCAGGCCTTCTCAAAAGGTGTACCGTTATGACGGAGTCCACTTCAGTGTCAACGTGAGTGCCACACGTCTTTAACTAGCCTTCTGGGGAATGCCAGGCCCTCCTTTCCTATGTTACTCTATTCAGTGCCAAGAACTCCCCCACCCATAGCTTGCCTTGTCAAAAGTGAGTGAACCCAGCTCTTTTGCTTGAGGATCTCCAAATGGGCTTCTTAGAGTTTAGCAACCTGATTCCATCCTAACCAATCTTTCTGTTCCGGCTTTTCTTACTAGGACTCAAAGTACATACCAGTGGAAGACCTCCAAGACCCCCGTTGCCATGTCAGGTCCAAAAACAGAGACTTTTCCCTTCCAGTCCCTAAGTTTAAGGTAGGTGTCTGCTGGTTTCCTGGTATGGTGCCCCTCTTGGAGAGTACGAAGGGTACTGTCACTCTACTGTTCAGATAGCCCAGTAAAAGGAGCAGTCCCCTGAAAGACTGAGAGTCAGATCTAATAACCTGAGTCTATGAGACTGAAATGTTCTGGATGGAAGGTGCACTTGTACAGCAGAGGTGTCCCAAGTGTATCCCTGGTAAGGGTGTTGATTCTTCAGGGATGAGTTAAGGACAGGTTTAGCTGCTGTATGTCTCACTGTGTGTTCCTGGATAGTATATAGGACAACAGTAAGGTAGTTTAGTTTCTTAATAATTAAGGGAAGTGACAAGGACAATCCTTCCCTGGAATCTTCACTTCTCATTTGGCCATGTGATCCTCCATCTTGGTCCCTAAGAGCATTCCCATTTTCCTAAGTGGGATAGTCAGGCCCTGGACTAAACTTTAAATAAACTGGTGGGTCTTAGTTTTCTTCATTCATTCTTTGTTTTTCCTCTTTAATTCTTCCTTGTTAAGTAGTTTTTGGGGTCTCAACCTCTGATTTTTATTTTGTACATTTTCCATGCACATTCTCTTTCATATCTGTGGTTTTGACTGGTACCTTGGTGTGATGACTTCTGTTTATTTATTTATTTGGTACTGGGGATTGAACTCAGGACCTCATGCTTGTCAGGCAGGTGCTGTGCCGCTAAGGCTAAATCCCCAACCCTTGTTGACTTCTAAATACATTTCCAGACAACATCAGTCTCAAACTCCAGACTTGAATGGCTGGTAGAGGGACAGTTCTATTTGAATGCCCCATAGACATCTCATGCTGTTGAAATTTAAAATAAATTACTTTTATTCCATCAATCCTGCTCTCCCTTTCATATCCTCTTTACTAATAAATAACAGCGTCTACTGAGCTACGCACAGTAGTCACCCAATGTTTGTTTTGTTTTTATGTTAATCTTTCTATTCTCATTGCAGTTTCCTTAAGGCAGATTCTTGCATTAATTTCACATGGTTCTCTTACTTCCATGCTATTTCATATTCAGTTCTCTATTACCTATTTCTTTGATTTTATTGTTCTATTTTTTTTGCCTAGTCTGCTTCAGGTTATCAGCATATGTGGTTTTGATCTGGCCAACTCTTATTCTCTGCTTTGACACTATTCCTATGTTACATCCACATGTAAGTTTGCAGTTTCTGAAAATGCCAAGTTGTTCTATAGTTTCTTTTTCTTTTTTTTCTTGTTTGTTTTTTGAGACAGGATCTCTCTGTGTAGTTCAAGCTGTCCTTGATCTCATTATGTAGCCTAGACTGGCCTCAAATTTGAAGTGATCAAGCCTCAGCCTTCAGAGTGCTGGGATTACGGGTGTGAGCCACCACACCCAGCTTGTTCTGTAGTTTTTATGTCCTGAAAGTCCTCGTTATTTTGGTGAATTCTTATATAGCCAAAAAGCATGGTAAGAATGATGCCATCTTTATATGAATCCTTTCCTGATTCTACTCTGCCCAAGAGTATCCTTCTCTGGGTTCCCAAACACACTGTCTACCCTTCTGTTGACACTATGGCACAGTAAATATGTCTGTCTTGTCTACTTTCCTGAGCATGAATTTCTACTGCCTATCTCTTGTTAATAATTCTTGGGGCTAGTAGATTATCTCCTTACAGCTGGTTCCTTTTGTGTGTGTTTATTCCTGAGTTGTGCATTTCTCTTCTTGGTTCTTGCTATTGTGGTGAGAGGAATTCAGGGGGAGGGGTCAGGACCGATGTAGCCCCAGCTGTAGCGCCTTTCCCTTGCCCTTAGTCTCCCAGACATCTTTCATGACCTCATAGATCTTGCTATAGGGCGAAGGAACTGTATTTGATATAGAGCAGTGATGGTGAACCTGTTAGAGACGAGTGCCCAAACTGTGACCCAAAACCCACTTAAACCCAATTAAATCTAAATGAGGTAGTTTAGAAAAAACTACTCATACATTAACATCTTTTGTCTGAAAAAAAAACAAGTAACATATGAGCCATGGGTTCACCACCACTGGCGTCTCCAGACCAACTCCTGTCTTCTCCACAGCTGGATGAGTTCTATATTGGACAGATCCCACTGAAGGAAGTGACTTTCGCAAGGCTGAATGACAACGTGCGGGAAACCTTCCTGAAGGATATGTGCCGAAAGTATGGCGAGGTGGAAGAGGTAGAGATCCTTCTTCACCCCCGTACTCGCAAGCACCTGGGCTTGGCCCGTGTGCTCTTCACCAGCACTCGGGGTGCCAAGGAAACAGTCAAAAACCTCCACCTTACCTCCGTCATGGGCAACATCATCCATGCCCAGCTTGACATCAAAGGTGAGGGTTCCCCTGCCTGCTGTTCAAGGTTGGTCTTTAGTTAAAAGTGTACATGTTAGTAATTCATTGAAGCTAAGCACGTGTAATAAAGGTCACGATTCCTTCTCTAAACTTGGGCTAGATGTGTTTCTGAACTCAAGTTTTTTTAGGAATTATGGTATCATTGCCAGCATTGTCAGGACAGTATCCTATAGTCAAACCCATGGCTGTATCCATAAGAAATTATATGAAGGATAGAGTGAATAAACTTACTGTAGTAAACTAGGATAGATTTTAATACCAAATTTTTAAAAATTTTGGATTTTCAGGTTTTTGGTTTTAAAATTTTATGTATTAAGCCTTTGGGGATTGAGGGAATAGCTCATTGGTAGAGCTTTTGCTTAGTTTATGTGAGGCTTTGGATTTGATCCCAGCACTGCTGAGGCAGGAGGGTTCACAAGTTTGTGTTCCGTCTGGGGAACTTAGTGACTTAGTGAGACCTTGTCTCAAAATAAAAAGTACAAAAAAAAAAGGTCTGAGGATTAGCTCAGTGGAAAGGCCCTGAGTTCAAGTGTCAGTACCACCAAAAATCAATAAAAAAGAAATTTATTTATTTATTTAATGTTTCTTTGTTTTGGGGACAGGGTCTCACTTTGTAATTCAGGCTGGCCTTGAAATCACTGTGGAGCCCAGGCTGGCCTCGAACTTGAGGCAGTCGTCCTCCTTCCTCAGCCTCCTGAGTGCTGGAATTACAGGCGTGCGCCATCATGCCCAGCTTCAAAAATTTTTAAAAATGGAAGTGAAAAACAAAGGGGCTGGAGGTATAGTTTAGGAGCACATACTTATAAGCCTTAAGCCTTTACTTAAAAGCCTTTAGTTCAATTCCAGTGGCTACCAAAGAAATTCTAAAAAGAAGACCTGTGAAGGCAAATTAAACAGTCCATACTGCCTTGTTAAGTAAGGAGCAATAGGGAAGAGTGGGGTCATGGCAGACTAAGTTATAGTGCTAAGGAGGCAGCTTTTAGTTGCCATTAGTCAGTTTGCAAGGAAAAGAGGACTGGCAACACGGTCTTGTATAGTCCAGGCTGGCCTCAAATTTGAGATGATCCTCTTGCCTCAGCCTCCTGTGTGCTACAGCTACAGGCATGCACTGCCATACCCAGCCCAAATTTGATTTATGCCCCCCTGGTATCAGGGATTGAATTCAGGACCATGTGCTTGCAAGGCAGGCACAGTGCTAAATCCCCGGCGCCTAAATTTGATTTTTAAAAGTCAGAAGACTAGATTTTTTGTATATAACCTTATGAGTTTTAAATATTGCATAATCTTCCAGGGTTTTTTTTGTCTTTTATTTTTTGAGACAGTCTTACTACATAGTCCAGGATGGCCTTGAACTTAACGATCTTCCTACCACTGCCTCCCAAGTACTGAAATTATAGCCTTGCATCATACTTGGCTCCTTTTAAGATTTTTGTTTTTTCCTTGCAGTGCTGGGAATTGAACCTAGGGCTTTCACACTGAGATCCGTCCCCAACCATTTCTTAAATTTTGTTCTGAGACAAGGTCTTGACTGGGCTCAAACTTTCATCAGTCTCCTGCCTCAGTCTCCCAGAGTGTTGTGATTATAGGTGCAGCCACTACACCTGGGTCCTCCCAGGATTTTTTGAAAGTTACCACGCAAGGCAAATGCAATTTAATTATAGGCTGGATTTAGTCTTCAGGTTGCCATTTTGCAGTCTTTATAGGAAAAGGAGCATGGAGGGATTTAGCCTTAGAGAAGCTAGATTTGAATTCCAGTTCTTCCACTGACCAATTTTGTGAGTTTATGCAGGTGCATTTTCCTTAATTATTTCCGGTTTTGTGTCTTGTTGATCATCCATTGTAATAATATGGATAGATGTATATTTGTAAACGAGGAAGTACCGTAGAATGTGTAACTTGTAGTAGTTAATTGGTAGAGATGAGCTGAGATGTTCTCAAAGATAGAGATAAGGCAGGAGCACTGAAATCCCCAAACCCAAGATTCTAAGAAATTGTAGGAAACATGAAGCCTAAGAAGCAGGCTTAACAAGTCAGAAGAGGGTTTTGTTGTTTTGTTTTAATACTCGAGATGAAACCGGGGTGTTTTACTACTGAAATGCATCTCTTTTGTATTTTTATTTTTTATTTTAAGGCAGGATCTTACTAAATTGCTCAGGCTGGAGGTGAACTTACGATTGTCCTTCCTTGGCTTTCTGAGAAGCTGGGATTTCAGGAATGTGTCACTGTGCCTGGCTAGGCATTGTTTTTCTTTATGACTGTTCTCATTTCTCTTCCCATAGGACAACAGCGAATGAAGTACTATGAGTTGATTGTCAATGGTTCCTATACCCCTCAGACTGTGCCCACTGGGGGCAAGGCCCTGAGTGAGAAGTTCCAGGGTTCTGGTGCAGCTGCCGAGACGGTGAGAAGCTTGTGGCTACCAAAGCCCTAGCCATATGGACAAAGTGCCTGATGTTACCTGAACAGGAGCCACCTTTGGAAGGTCCTAGACTTTACTGTTAAGTTTAGGAAGAGCCAAGAAAAGATGCATAGAAACTTTCAGAAATGGATCTAGGATTCTTCTGGAGCACAGCCTGCTTTTGAATGTTGCCTGATCATTTTCTTTTATCCTTGCCCCACTCTCTCTCCAGACTGAATCCCGCCGCCGCTCATCCTCTGACACAGCTGCCTACCCATCAGGCACTGCTGTGGTGGGCACCCCTGGCAACGGCACCCCCTGCTCCCAGGATGCAAGCTTTTCCAGCAGCCGACAAGACACCCCCTCTTCCTTTGGCCAGTTCACCCCTCAGTCCTCCCAAGGAACCCCCTACACGTCTCGGGGCAGCACCCCTTACTCTCAGGACTCTGCCTACTCTAGCAGGTACAGAGCACACACCATGTAGGTTCAGTCATCGGATTGTGGGGGCTGCTATCAGGAAGAAGCCCAAAGTGTTTGAGAGGGAATTGGAAATCACCTGACCTACTCTCTGTAGTGTCAGCCAACAAGTTGCTGTCTTTAGGGACACTGTTTAGAAACTTGGCATGTAGTTCTTCTGAGGGCAGTGTAGAGAGGCTTTGGGTATGAGAACTGGGGTGGTCAGGTTTGGTCATATAGAGATGAGCCCAGTTAACTCTCACACTTCTTTCCTAGCACCACTTCAACTTCCTTCAAGCCCCGGCGATCAGAAAACAGCTACCAAGATTCCTTTTCCCGCCGCCATTTCTCAGCATCTTCAGCCCCCACGACTGCCTCCACAGCCATCTCTGCCACCACCGCAGCCACTGCCGTGTCCTCCTCTTCTTCTTCCTCGTCGTCCTCATCATCCTCTTCTTCCTCGTCTTCTCAATTTCGTGGTTCTGACTCAAACTACCCAGCATATTTTGAAAGCTGGAATCGCTACCAGCGTCATACTTCTTACCCACCACGCCGGGCTACTCGAGAGGAATCCTCTGGTGCCCCGTTTTCTGAAAGTACTGCTGAGCGCTTCCCACCCTCCTACACCTCGTACTTGCCCCCTGAGCCCAGCCGGCCCACTGACCAAGACTACCGGCCTCCTGCCTCAGAGGCCCCACCTCCGGAGCCCCCAGAACCAGGTGGAGGTGGGGGTGGTGGAGGACCCAGCCCTGAGAGAGAAGAAGCTCGGACCTCCCCCCGCCCAGCCTCCCCTGCCCGCTCCGGCTCCCCAGCCCCAGAGACCACCAATGAGAGTGTGCCCTTCGCCCAACACAGCAGCCTGGATTCCCGCATCGAAATGCTACTAAAGGAGCAGCGCTCTAAGTTTTCTTTCCTGGCCTCTGATACAGAGGAGGAGGAAGAGAATGGCAGCGCTGGCCCTGGGGCCAGAGACCTTGGGAGTGAGGTGCCTTCTGGGTCAGGTCATGGGCCTTGCACACCTCCTCCGGCCCCGGCTAATTTTGAGGATGTGGCACCAACAGGGAATGGGGAGCCAGGGGCCACCCGGGAGTCTCCCAAGGCCAACGGACAGAACCAGGTGATGTGGGGGTCAGCTGGAGAAGGTACCTGGGATCTGGGAGGCAGGGCTGGACCCTTGGGGAGAGGGAAGTGAACTAGAGAAGAAAGTGGGTTTGAGGAGAAGGCCCAGAAATGGGCAACAGCTTACTGTGACCCTCCTCTGCACCCCCATAGGCTTCTCCATGCTCTTCTGGAGAGGACATGGAGATCTCCGATGATGACAGGGGTGGCTCACCTCCTCCAGCCCCCA